GGTTACAGCGCCAAAAAAGAAGAAGAAGACGTATTTACTGAAGTAGTCAACCGTTAACAACCAATTTGAATTTTTGAAAAAAAATATATCTAGACCTAACGTTTGCCAGAGTCCCTTTGGAACTTCTCGGTTTAATAAAGGCTCTTTTGTATTTGAGCTTTTATATTTTAAGCAAGGTTCACAATTTTTTACCATGTTTTCTATTTCATTGTTTAAGGTAGGCAAAAGATACTACTTCACTAGCCCTATCTTTACATTTCTCTATGCGTAAGTGATTGTAATGAATCAGATTCAAAATATGTTTTCTTAATTTATAAGGAATTAGCAGCTTATTATTTTTAAATATCAAATCATCTATTATAGTTAACTCAGTAGCCATTGTATAATACTGTTTAATATTACTTGGCACATCATTTTATTATTTGGCCAACCTTCTTTTATGTATTTTGCTAGTGTTATCATTTCACTATCAGTTTGCATTTCTTTTTTAAACTCATCTTTTTTGTCTAAAGATATTGGCAAATTGTTTGTAACAAAGCAAACTTGAACATTTATTTCTTTTTCTAAGTTTAACTTTTCATTATTGTTATTTTTTAGTCTCGATAAGGCATCAGCCAAGAGTAATTTTTTACCAGGCTTATATTTGACTTCAATACCGTATTTACGTAATTCCAGTCGAATACTTTGTAGTCTAACTGGGCAATCATTAATCTGCTTTTTAAAAATGGCTTCCAATGGCTTATGATCTGATTCTACTATGACTTTTTTTGTGTAAATATATTGATGGAATTTTAAACAGCCAGAAGAAAAAGATTTGCTTGCATATGCTATTGGAAGCCCATTTTGCAAAAGCACTGCTCCTAGGCCATATTTAGAAGCATCTACACGTAAAACCACGAGGTTTTTTAACATTATAGTATTGCAAACTGGCGCTTGTGTTAGTATTTTTTTTTTATTCCATAAATTCTTTGTTGCAATTCTTATCCCAGTTCCATACTGCATTTTTCTATTAGTCCTCTTAAACTAACATTTTTAGCTGCTAAATTTGGGACAAATTTTGCTACATAGGTCAACATACCTAAAAAGGTTTCCAATTCCGATTTGTTTCCAGGTGGATTCATTGCATTTATTGCTTTAACTTTTCGTCATCAATTTGTATACCTTCATTCATAAAATAGTGACCCATGAATTTTATTTTGTTACAACCAAATTTACATTTTTTTAAATTAAATTTTATGTTTCTCTCTTTGGCTCTTTCGAGTACTTTACTTAAACGAAGATCGTGTTCTTCTAAAGTTTTACCATAGACCCGTATGTTATCAACGTAAATATCAACACCTTCTATATCCGAAAAAAATGGTTTCAAAACATTGTTGGAATACTTCTGTAGCAGACGAAATACCAAATGGTAAACGCAAATAACGATACCTTCCGAAAGGTGTGATTATTACTAAATAATTTGAGATTTTATTGGTTAATTTGATGGAAAGCACGATCTGCGTCTAAGATACTAAATATTTTTGCACCCGACATTTTTGCAATTAAATCGACAAAATCCGGAATTTTATAGTGCTGACGAAGCACATTCTTATTTAATTTTGTTGGGTTTATACATATTCGTATTTGACCATCTTTCGTTTTTGTTATGCCCATGGGATGAACCCATTCAGTAGACTCAGTAGCCTCTCAATTATTTTTTCTAATTCCATTAAGTAATTCATTTTTCTCTTGGTCAATCAATGCAATTGAAACTTTACGACCCCCAGCTATAGTTGGCTTAGCGTCCGGTTTTATTTTTAAATCGTATTCAAAATCTGTAATGCATTCGAAGCCTTCAAATACTTCTTCATATTTTTTTATTATTGTAGTGACATTTATTTTGTTATCGGAAACGATTGTATCAACTGTTTGTATTAATTTTAATTCTAGAAGTGTTGGTAAGCCGACTATAGCTGGAGCTTCTAAAACATTTACGAGGTTACTTAATACGACAAATGGTTGCATGGATTCAGGTCGGCAATTGAATTTTATTTTTAATCTACAGTAACCTACTGCATTTAATAAGAGACGACCCTATGCTTTTATTCTCCCTGTAACTTTTTCTAAATCTTAAATTTTCATATTTAATGATTTTAAATGATTTACAGTAATTACGTTACATTTTGCACCTGAATCCAATTTAACTTGCAAATCGTATTTATCATTTATTTTGATGACCTCATTCCAGTTTTCTTCTTCAGTAATATTATATCTATGTATGTCTATAGAACCGAAAAAAGGAGAATCAACCTTATAATCATTATCATTATCAATTAAGTTTACAGCTTTCTTTTTAGTTTTGCAGCATTTTGCAAAATGATTAAACCCTTTTGTGCTTTTTTACGGGCTTCGAATAAACTTGGGAGAATCCCTGCTGCTACAAATAAAGGGGAATCTCGAGCAACAGTATGGTTTGATTTCCACTTGGATTCTCAACTTGGTTTATTCTCTAAGACAAGAAATACAAAAAATGCAGTTTACAGATAGTACAAGCTATATACATAGGTTGACTCTACTCACATT